CCCACAACTACCCAACCACCAACATTCTTCACAACCCTACCAATTCAACCAAACCACACTCCCCAGAGCTGGTTGGAACAAGGTCTAATGGGACACGGCCTAAGCATGAGCTTAAGGATTAATGGGGAGGATATAATCATACAATTAGAGGACCCATGTTACTTGGCTCAAATAATAGCGGAAGGGATGAGAATAGCCATGGGGAACATAATAAACAATCCTTGGATAAACCATGCACTAACCCTTCATCAAGGAATGCCATCACCATGGCTTCATCTTGCACGGCAGAACCAACAGCCATGGAATCCTCTCCTACCATTCAATCTTCTCAACACACAATCACCCCTCTTCCCAAATATCCAACCTCCCCCAAACCCAGCCCCCCTATTCCAGACCATGTATGGCACGACCCCAAACATGCATGGTCCAATACCGAGCCACCAAGCAGTCCACAACACCCCAGCAACACCCCCTCACCCATACAACATAATCACCCACCCAACGTGGAGAGAGAAGAGGAGGAAGAAGAGGAAGACAGTCCAACGGAAAGGGTGGTAGAACACGGAGTACTAAGATCATCAAAAACCCTAGTGTTCAAAGCAAGAAAAGAAAAAAGGTTCATCTTAAGTTGCCCGCTGGATTTGAGGAAATACTCAATAACTATAAAGAATGATTTACTTGTATTTCCATGTCTAATTGCTACTTGTTAGACATTGTATCTCTTTGTTGAAAGTATTAGTTCTTTCGTAGCTTCATTGTCTCCTGTTATTTGTTTGAGCTGGTTATTGGTACTTTCAAGGCATATTATAGATTGGTCTCGCTGAGTAGTATTACTTGTGTAAAGCCTTATAGTGTATAATCTTTCTAAATATTTTTGTTTGAAGTTTGAGCCTTTGTGAAGTAGTTATATTTAAATTGTGTAATTTCTGTATTTGCTGAGTAAGTGATATTGATATGGTGGTATCGGGTTACGTGCCGCAACAGGTTGGAATAAGGGTGATATATTGAGAGGANGAACAGTGACGAAGTCAATATGGACCAAATAGGGGGAACTGATCAGGAAATCCATGCTATGGTGAAGGTAAAAATTCTTCCTAAAACATGGTTATGCTCAATTATTTATGCTAGTAGTTTACTAGAGGAAAGAATGACTCTTTGGAATAACCTAAAAACAGTTGCTTGCAACTATAAAGGACCCTGGTTAGTATTAGGAGATTTTAATGAGGTCACTAGAGCAAGCGAAAAATTTGGAGGACTCCCTGTCAATAACAATAGAATTTCAAAGTTTATTAATTGCCTTAATATAAACTAATAGACCTAGGTTTTAAAGGCCCAAAGTTTACCTGGTTAAATAAGAGGATAAAGAATAAAAATGCTTTCATTATGGAGAGACTTGACAGATTTGTAGCCAATAGTGAATGGATCGGTATGTTTCCTGAAGCTTGTGTAAAACATCTTATAAGAACCCACTCTGACCACTGTACCATACATCTTGACCTTATCAAAAGACCAAGCCGTAGCAATAATATATTTCGATTAGAAACCATGTGGTTATCCCATCCCACTTTTAAGGGATTAGTAATGGACTGCTGGACAAATCAGCTTAATATATCAACTGCTATTAACAACTTCACTAATAAAGCCACTGCCTGGAATAAGGATAACTTTGGAAATATCTTTAAAAAAAAGAACGAAATCCAAGCTAGACTAGAAGGCATTCAAAAATCTCCAAATTACACAACTAGCACCTTCTTGTCTAACTTGGAAAATGAATTACTAGAAGAATTACAAAAAGTCCTCAAACTGGAAGAGGAATTCTGAAAACTGAAATCTAGAATCCAGTGAATCCAAGAGGGTGATGCCAATACTAAATTTTTCCACCTCACAACCCTGCAAAGAAGAAGGAAAAATAGGATTTTTAGTATTAGAGATAAGGCTGGTAATTGGTTCCACAACCCAAAGGAACTTGCCCATATCATAACAAATTTCTATAAAAATCTATATACCACTAACCATACTTCCTCCCAAAAAACACTGATATACATGCCTGCCTTATCCTCAATTACCCCAACTAACCATTCCCCCCTCACCAGAGTGCCTGATGAGGAGGAAGTAAGGAATGCCCTCTTCTCCTTTAAACAACTAAAGGCACCTGGACCGGACGGTATCCACCCCTTCTTCTACCAAAAATTCTGGGGAATAACTAGCAACCTTCTGGTAAACTTATGTAAAGAATCCTTCACAACGAAAAAAATGACTGAAGACATGAATAGTACCTATGTTTGTTTAATACCAAAGCATCAGAATGCTGAAACCTTAAGGCAATATAGACCCATTAGCCTTTGTAACACTGCCTATAAGGTCGTCACAAAAATTATTGTTAATAGAATAAAACCTTTGCTCAACAAAATTATCCATCCTTCTCAAACAAGCTTTATAAAAGGAAGGAGAGCCTCTGACAATGCCATAATAGTGCATGAAGTCCAGAATTTTTTCAAAAATTCCAAAGGGAAGAAAGGGAAAATCATGATTAAAATTGATTTAGAAAAGGCTTTTGACAAACTAGAATGGTCTTTCATTAGATTCTCCCTGAAATCCCTTAACTTCCCGGATGACCTAATTGAGCTAATAATGTCCTGCGTATCCTCCGCATCCACCTCTATACTCATAAATGGTTCAAGCACAGAATTCTTCACCCCTACTAGAGGCATTAGGCAAGGGGACCCCCTATCCCCATACCTATTCATAATATGCATGAAAATGCTCTCTAGACTCATTGATCATGAAGTAGACTGCTGTAGATGGGACCTTATAACCCTGTCAAAAAAGGGACCCCAATTATCTCACCTGTTCTTTGCTGACGACCTCATTCTTATGATGGAGGCCAATCAATAAAGCTGTGACTCCCTCATAGATACTCTGAATAAATTCTGTAAGTTCTCCGGCCAATCCATCAACTTCAGCAAATCTAGAATAATCTTTTCTAAGAACACTCACCCGGACAAACAGTCTCTCTTCAGCAGGTCCTAAACATGAGAATATCAAACTCAGTAGGTAAATACCTAGGTTTCCCCATGACAAACCAGAGGCTATCCAAAAAAGACTTCCAATTCATTATCGACGATCTGAACAACAGACTAAAAGGATGGAAAACCCACTTCCTAAACCTAGCAGGAAGAACCACCCTCATTAAAGCAACTCTTGCAGCCATTCCTAACCACAACATGAAAATTTTCAACCTACCAAGAGCTACCCAAAACAAGATAGATTCCATCCAACGTAATTTCCTATGGGGAAGTACGGAGGAAAAAAGAAAATGCCACTTGCTTAAGTGGAGTAAAGTTACTACTCCAAAAGGACAGAGAGGCCTAGGGCTTTTTAAAACCAGCTGTAAAAATGATGCCTTCAGCACCAATGTTGCCTGGAGATACTCTAACAACAAGGAAGCCTTATGGGTCAAAGTTCTGCGCAATAAGTATGATAGGAAAACCGACCATAATAACAGACCCACTCCCAACCCTTTGTCCTCGCACATCTGGAAAAACATCTATAAAGGAAACAAGATTTGCCAAAAAGGGAATAAATGGATTATAGGTAATGGGGAAAACATAAACCTTTGGAACAGCTGATGGATAAACTACGGGAACACACTAAGGGACAGTATCCATGGGCCTTTCCAAAGAGGGGAAGAAGATATGAAGGTAAAATCAATCATTCAGGATGGTTACTTCAACCTAACAAAATTATCCTTCGAACTACCTGAAGATATAACCCTAAAAATCCATAGCATTTATATCCAACAATCCCAGTCAAGTAGGGATAAGATCTCCTGGAACTCCCCAGGTATAGTTCTTTCTCCATCAAGACAGCCTATGATCTTATTACTCACCAGGATACTCAGATTGAAGAGAACAACCTCGACTATAAGTGGATCTGGAAAAGTAACACCCTGAACAAACTAAAATACTTCATGTGGTTGCTCACCCTCAATAGACTCCCAACAGCCACCTTTCTAGCAAAACGTAACATCTGCACATCTGACATCTGCACCATATGTGGAACTGAAAAGGAGGACATAAAACACATGCTCTTCTATTGCACCCACTCAAAGGAAATCTGGAGGCAATGTCACATAAAACATAACTACCCACCCTCGGATAATGAACTATCTACTTTTTACTGGCTAAAGTATCAACTAAACTCAAACAAGCGCTGTAATCAATACATCACTTGGCCTATCTTCTTACCTTTCCTCCTATGGTACTTATGGACCACTAGAAATGAAAAGATAAAAGCAGTCCATATCCCAACATTAGCAAAGTAATCAATAGTACCTAAGAATTCCTTTTCCTAAGCAACTGGAGCCCCATCCGCACACCAAAAATAATCATCCTCATTAAATGGCAACCACCGGGCATAGGAACCTACAAACTAAACATAGATGGATCATGCCTAGGTAACCCAGGTAGGGGGGGCATAGGAGGGGTTTTCAGAGATAGCAATGAAAACTGGATACTAGGATTCAATATGGGATTTGCCTATGCCACGAATATCCAAATGGAAGCCATGTCCCTATTACAGGGCCTAAAACTAGCCATCCAAAAGAGATTAGCCCCTTTAGTCATTGAAACAGACTGCCAGGAGCTTATTAACCTGATAAACAATGATAATTGCCTTTATCAAAATATTAATGATTACTGCAGGTTCCTATTATCTGAGGCGGGCACGCCACCATTGAAGCATGCATTCAGAGAAGCTAATGGGGTAGCGGACACCTTAACCAAGAATGGATGCAGCTTGGACTCTTTTGCTGAATTAATGCTGTATTATTATCCACCTGTATTTGCTATTTCAGTTTTTGATAGAGATGGGATAGGCACTGCGTGGCCTAGACAAATCTCATATTGTAATGACTACTAAGTTTTTATGTTCTGAATAAATGTCTCTATTTACCCAAAAAAAAAAGTCAATTTCTAATACAAATCTTAATACACTACTAATATGTGAAAAGAAACTTTAAATTATATACTTCATCCGTCCTATTATAAGTGGCAGTGTTTGAATTTCGAGAGTCCAACAATTTTTTCTTTGATTACGGTTTGTAATATGACTTTTAAAATTTTTTGAATGGGTAATTATTCTATCCTATATTGCTTTTTGTAGAGTATCTGAATATGTAAATTTTGGACAGTTGATGCTTCAACATATAGTCAAAAGAAAGAAAAAAAAAGTGAAGCTGCAAAACATTGTCACAAAGTTGAAGAAGTGTAAGAGTAGGCAGAATCCAAAATGGATTACAGAGAGTCAAACATAATCCAAATTGGATTACAGAATAAATCTCCAGCAAAGACAAAAAGAGTAAGCCTTCTTCATATATAGCTGTTCACAACAATTCTCTCCTTCTGGGCGTTACATTTCTTCTCTTTTTCTTCAGGTTATTGTTACCCAGTGATTTTACTGTGTTTTTTCAGTGAATTGAGTGATGAAATTTTTTCGGGGTTTTCAGGTTTTTGATAAAGCTTCTTATAATTTTTAGTTTGATTGTTTCTATCTTAATGGTAAGGTCCGCGTACATACTACCCTCCCCAAACCCACGTTGTTGTTGTTGTTGTATCTTAATCGTTTTTTTCCTTCTTGAAGTCTTGATTTCTAGCCCCTATATTCAGTTTATGTATAAAAAAATCCCCCATATATGGGAATGTCCTTATTTGGATGATAAGATTGGTGTTTCTCTTAATTAACTTTTTCAATCTGGACTCTGATAAAAGAGCTTTTCCTTTAAGCATTTTAGTTTGTTGTGTGCTTCAAATTAAAATCAGATATGAACGCAGAGAGGATATGAATTGAGCAATTTTTCGTGATAGCATTTGGTTTTTCTCATAGAGAATTTCATTAGCTAATTAAGTGGTGCTTTGTGTTGAAAGCTTTCTTGGTCTCTTCGGTTTCAATAATCGTTAAGGTTCATTTCACTATTGTGGTGCAAGATTCATAAAATATGGGCCCCCGCCCCTACCCTTCTCCACTTAAATACCAGACTGTTGTCTATATCAACGTTCGAACCGTGATGTGTACCCTTTGGAAATGACTTTCATTTTATCTAAGCCGTAGAATGAAACAAGTAACTTTCATGAATTGGTTGTTTTACTTGATTGTTGAAGCTTTCCTTCAATTTTACTATTGTGAGTATTTAAAATGTTACTTTGTTAGTGGTCCTGATCTTTGTAACCTTCTCAATTTAAAATGCAAAATATATCAGAATGAATTCCACATGATCTTTGTGATATAATGAGCTTTACTTTTCTTCCCATATATATGCGCATTGACCTAGTCATTGCTCCAAATCCGGCAGTAAAATTTTGTTTACTCGCTTTTACCTCTTTCTAATCTAAATACATACTTCTAGCAAAACTTTTGTGTTTTGATGTACGTGTCTTTTTATCCCTGTTACAGTGTGGCACCCTCAAACTAGGTAATACCTGTTAAAATTAAAACACATTTAGTGCTTTCGATTGGTAGGTATTCAGTTTGTTTCTTGTAAAGAAACTTCGTCAATTCCTATTAGATAGTGATTTATTTAGATTCCACAAACGGAGTCGCTAAAGAATGCAATAACTTCTTCTATGATAGTAATTCACAAGTGCTATTCATTACTGCAAGTTCATTCATCTACCAAACTGAACACTCTCATGCATTCCGCAGTTGCAAGTTCTGAACAGTTCTCATTAATATCGTAACTAGTTGTTTTCGAGTTTGTACTTCCATATGCGTGCTTTAACCATAAATACTGCGCGCATAAGTTTAGTTAGGGCTGCTGCATAAGCTGTAAGATCTATTCATCTTCCTTTATACTGGCAAGGTTATTTGTTGGTGTTTCATTACTGGTAACCTTTTCGCCTTGTCTCTACTTATTTCCTCGGGCAGTTTTAGTTTGTGAGTCAGTAGGATGTGTACATTGTAAGTTGACATTATAATTCTTAACAAGCTCTAAACTAATGATAAATTTCCATATAATATGTACGTATAAATTCATTACTGCAAGTTAAATAGGAGTGGATCTCAAATAAATGTTTCTTTCCGTCTGGTTAAGACTAGTTGCTGTTTAACTGGAAGCTAACTTGTTAAGTTTTCCCTATACTCCATATTGACGATATGCATCATAATTGAAAGTTGGCTAAACTTTCATACCGCTTGCTTGGATAGATGTTCTGAAACTCTTCATGAAATATAATTGTTTTTGTTAACTACTCATTCGGCTTCTTTTCTTTGGGTAGTTACAAGCGTTATATTATTCTCCTCTAGATATACTTATGCTATCTGTATCGAAAAACTATTTACTTTCTCCTCGGTTCTTGCTTCTTAAGTTTCATTTTCATTGTAAATTTCTGCTCTCGTATTGATATTGAGGATGGATCTCATAGTCAACTGGTAGTCCCCGTTATCTTGATATACATGTTGAACACATAAACAATCGAGAAACACTAAAATCTAATAACTTTTACCTGTTTCAGGTGCTTAAGCTGTTGAAAGGAAATGACTCACACTGGTGAAGCTTCTGAGGGCCATAAATCTGAAGGCATTGATACGACGATTGAGATAAAAGTAAAAACTATGAATTCTGAAACCCACAATTTGCGTATTAGCAATCAGGTACTTACCTCCGCTAAGGGCCATTTGTTTCAGATGGATAGCAAACTTCTGAACTGTTACCTATTTCTTTAAGTAAAAGAAATTTGTGTGATACATTAATTGTGTATGTTTAACACTAAACCATGTTATATTCGTTTGCACAACCACATAGTTTATGCATGCATCCTCACTTTTTTAATCGCTAAAAAGGTTCTTGGTTATGTGCTGATCTCCATTTGTGGTGTCATGCAGAGGAGAGTATGGAATTTGAAAGAACACGTATCTCTTTTGATAGGGATGCCAATGGAACAACAGCGTCTAATCTATTGTGGAAAAGTCTTACAGGATGATGACCTCCTTTCTTCATACAGTATCCTTTTTATTCACTTTATGTATGATCATCTTTAGTATAGTATGTAATGTTCATGTGTCCCTTTGCTCTTATTATTTCTTACCCCATTGGAGTCTTAACGCTAATTAGATATTCAACATGGTGATACTTTGCATCTGGTTTGCACTGTCCAGAGCATGTCATCCTTTGGTAATGAGTTTTCTGTAAATATGATGTGTAGACAATCTCCTCCTAAATATCCATTAGAAGTTGTTTACTGGTTGTTCTTTGTTTAATTTCTTTTGTATTGCAAGTGAAGTAGAAAATTTCAAAACCAACTAATACTTCTCAAATATTTTTAATGCATTTGACCTTCGGCTCATGATCAGTTCTCTCTAGTCTAGCCGAAGAAGATTATACTTCGTATCTTTACATTTCTATTCAGTTAACTCACCGTGTTCTAATGCCTAATTTGAGCTAGCTGTTACTTACTCCTGTCTGTTGTACTTGTACTTGCTCCACCTCAGCTGCTACTGATGAGATTTCTCCAGATACTCAACAGGTGATTTCATTTGCATATTATCATGCTGACCATCCTTATAGTTCTTGTTTTTCAATATGCTTATGTGTGCAAAAACATAATATTGAGGGGGTTGTCGCTGCAGTTCAAAATATTATAGTAGTATCTTCTTGGAATTTGTAATTTAGCCTGTACAGAAGTACCGTATAATAGTCTGATTGTTGCAGGAAATACCCAACTCTCTAGAAAGTTTATCACGATATCTCAACATAATGAGACAAGAATATAATATGAACAGTCAGTTCTCTTCCTCTTTTATGTTTTCCTTTCACTTTAGAGGTATGTGGATCAGTGGGTCATAGTTAATCTGTTCTTCATTTTCTATAATCAGGAACAGAAAACAATACGAATGAGGTACTCGGAAGTGCATCCAATACTTTCACTCCTCCACAAGGAATTCCAGAAGTAGAACAATTAGCAAGACTGCTGTCGTCCACTAGGGATATGCTTATTAGCCAAACTGCGCAGCGCTTTCTCGTAAGTGCTTGCTCCTGCTTATGTTTTATTAACTGCTCTCCAGTTCCTTCAAATGTTCTAAGATCAGCCGAACATTTTTGACTGGTTGGAGTTTCTGTTGGCATAGGAATTGGAACTGGATCTGCGCCAAAATCTGGACATGGGTGATCCGAGGGTGCGCCAGGTAACCCAGTTAAATGCAGAGACAACAATCGGAACAATGTTCAACAATCTAGGTGCATATTTTCTTGAACTTGGCCGTGCAGTGATGGGAGTCCAAATGGGTGACAATGGGGTATTATACTTTGCTCTCTACTAAATAGATTATTTTTTCTCTTATTAACATGATCATGTCTGTTTTCATTTTCAGAGTGCTGCCGTAGTTAATGCTGGTCCTGCAGTCTATATAACCGACTCGGGTCCACTGTCCATCCAGGTAGCCTAGTCATTGTTCCTCTACTAAAACCAAATCTATATCTCACAATTAAACTTTGTAAATCCAACGTTCTGTCCGTCAACAGGAAGAACTTTATTCTGTGCTGCTCTCAACAATACACAGCCTGATCAACTCTGGTTTAGTAAATGATAATGATACGAGGCTGCACCAGAGGCAAGTTGGTACACAAATGATAGGAGGTTCGTTATGTAGGTAGTTCATAAGATTTGACATTATTTCTGTACGCTATCTAGCTGGCAAATGAGCAAGGTAAGATGAACGCGTATTTTTATGTGCACCATAAATAGAAATGAAATAACATAGTCCCGTTGTGAAATTATTACTTACTAGTTTCTCCATTTAGACTCATCTCTTGGTCAATGCTTATTATACAAAATAAAAATATCAGTTTCAATATCAAGTGTTTTTTCTTCTTCTTTTTAAATCAAGGGAAAAAAGTGTCAGTGGCTGTAAAGAGGTTAAGAGCTAAGTTGGATTTACTAACAACTAGAAGAGGTATCCAAAATAGAAATCTTAAAGATGCATTGGCGTTTTACTAATATAAAAAGGGATAAAAGCATCTAGATCTCGTCGAGTCCCTGAATTTGGTTTAAAATATTTCTCAAAGATGATTCTATGATCTTTATTCTTAATTAGAAAGACAAGCACCCAATATGCTACGAGTCCGAAACACCAGATACTTTCTTAGACCCATAGTTGCCACAGCTGATCAAAGTGTGCCACCAGGAAGTGGCGTACCAACGGAAGTTAGCCAATTTTTGAGAAGTATGTTCCTTAGTGGTGAACTTGAAGCTGCTACACCTGCAGGTGCAACTGTGAATAACGTCGTTGACAACGCAGGGATATTAAGTGTATCTTCTGGACCATCAATTATAGAACCAAGAAGTGCTCATGAATCAGCTGGTGAAGTAAGTGTAATTTGCACCTTGAATGTTAAATAGTACAATCTTATGCTCTACACTTACGCAACTAGCATAGACTCAGCTTTCAGTCTAAGCATCGACGTGTTTGTGCAGCCTGCTAATGAAGATGTTGGGACCTCTCATCGACAAACAGCTGATTTTGCTGAAAGCCCATCACATGCAAAACGACAAAGGGTATTACTATAGAATTTAAGTTTTCCTGTCCATTATGCCGGCAGTTTGAGTTCTTTCATCCTCTCTACGTAAGACCTCGTCCTGTTGCTTCCACATAGAACCTTATAATTTAAGGAAGAAGAAATCAAGGTAACATAAGAAAGTGGCATAATTTCAAACTTTCTCAACTTCAAACAAAATAATAGTACAAGTTTCGGTCTAAGGGGATTCACAAAAACACAAGAATGGCATACTTGGTATTTGAACTATGACATTAGTAATGTTTGAACCCCCTTTACCACTAATTGAGAAGTTTCTCTTATGTCATGGGATTATGTAAAAAAAATAAAAATTTACCCTTGTATAATAGGAGGTTTCGCCCCTGCTTTTGACATAGGAGTGCTGTAGCTTTTAACTTGAATATTCCCTTAGTTTTCCTATGGACGTGTATATTTACGTGGATGTGTATTCTTATAAATAAAAGTCTTACCAGTGATTCACAGCAACTATTCATATATTGTTAAATATTCAAGAAGATGTTAAACCTTCCAATTAGATTCCGATACTTCAGAGGATATATGGAATATTTGGATTCATCATCTTATTGTGGATGAGGATGTTGAGGTGGATGTGTGGGCACACTAAGATGGATAAGATTAGGAATGAAGATATTTAGGAGAAGGTGAGTGTGGCCCCTATGGACGACAAGCTGCGGGAAGCAAGGCTCAGATGGTGGTTCGGGCACGTTCAGAGGAGAAACCCAGACGTCCCGGTAAGGAGGTGTGAGCGGATGGCTTTGGTGGGTATGAGGAGAGGTAGAGGGTGACCTAAGAAGTATTGGGGAGAGGTAATCAGACAGGACATGACGTGATTTCAGATTACCGAGAACATGGCACTAGACAGGAAGTTGTGGAAGTCGAGCATTAAGGTTATAGGTTAGGAAATAGTTGTGCATATTTCTATGGCGCACCAGAGTAAGGCTAGTCTATTAGGATTTAGTCTTAGACTGCTAGTGGTTAAGGTTGAGTTCACACTACTCTTTCGTTCCTCTTATTGCCGGGCTTTATCTACTTATTATTGTTTTGCTTTTCATCTATTTTCTGGTTCTTGTGATGCTGTTATTCTTTTTTCTATGGTTTTATTGACGGTACGGATATATTGCCTCTTTTCGTCTTCTTGAGCCAAGGGTCTATTGGAAACATCCTCTCTACCCTCGGGGTAGGGGTAAGGTCTGCGTAGATACTACCATCCCCATATCCCACCAATGGAATTTCACTGGATCGTTGTTATTGTCGTTGTCATTGTTGTGTTAACTTCTGATTATGGTAGGTGCTGAACATACTTATTAATTTAGTTTTTGGTTGTTGTTTTCGACACAGATGGAGTGATGCCTTTATCGTGGGAGCCTTATGCATTCGGGTATCAGTTTCTTCATTACTAACAGACAGTTTCTTCATTCTTCAGCTTTGCAAATCTTCGTAGTTATTTTCTTGTTTTCTTGTTTGTTTTGTGACGATTTTTTACTGGATCGATCTTCCCTTAAAAACTTATGACAACGGATTTTAAGCTTTCTGCTCATTGATGTTGTCTTTTCATTATTTACGCTTCTACATATGTTGCCTTCAGATTATATAGTAGGAAATATATATATACATATTAAAATTAAAATTAAAATACGTATAAGGATAGAGTGTACGAATATTCACAGTTTCATGTATTCCGTCAGTTTAGCTTGTTGAAACCTCAACTGTTTCCTTTTAAATAGTGATTTATTTAGTTTCATTGCACTCAATAGTAGAAGAAGGCAAAAGCTTCTTTTACAATATTACAGTAGGTAACACTAGGGTGAGACGTATCCTCTAAGATCTATTTATCTTTCTTTATACCAAGGAAAGAAAAAGGTTCCTTCCGGATCAGGAATAATAAATAAAATTGAAACAATATTTAATTTTATACCAAAACAACTTCTGCCATCACTAGAATCTATGATCTAAGGTGTCCGGAGGCAAGAAAAGGTGTCAATAACTTGCTTCATCTGTCCTGAATGAGGGAATTAAGGTATATTAATATAATTTGACTCATTATAATATGTTACTTAAACTTTCCTGCAATTACATTTTATGTGAATATATTGTACAAAAAAAATTTATACGATCACGTTACTAAAAAAGTAAGTAATTATTTTGGTTATTAACTGCTACCATGCATTCATTTGTTTCTTTTTCTGCCCATCCTCGATATAATAATCTAGCTGACCAAACTTTTTGTGGCGCTTTCTACTCCGGTAGTACTCCTTTGGCGAGATCAAGCTTTCCACATAATTAATGGTGTCATATATAGATACTTTCTCTCCACGAATATGAAGGTTTTGCGTATTATCATTCTTCGGATTGTATACAACAAATTTTTCTTCAAGATCATATATCTCCAAAATTAGTTCTCCATCTTCTGTCATGGAAAACGGTGTTACCATTCCATATGAAGGATTTATTTTTAAATTCCTTATGAAAAATAAAGAAGTCCATGATTCCTTTACTCCATATTCCTTCATGACCAGTATCTCAACACCCACCTTATCATCTTTCAAGCAAGTCATACTTAGACATTCATTTAAAACTCCTAAACCAACTATAGCATTCTCTCCTTGATCAGTCTTAGGCTCAGGGACGGGAAACATGTGGAATTTTTCAGAGACAGGATCAAAATAAATTATTTCGTTACAAGGATCAAAACTATCCCACATACTTTCGTCTTTCTTTTTAACCCTTACACCGTAGTGAAGTCGTCCATGTAGTGTAATTGCTTCACTGACTGAGCGGATATCATAAGGGAATTTAACTGTCCTCCATCTTTTGTCTTTAAGACTAGCAACTATAACGAATTCACCACCATAATCTGGGGTCTGATGGTCCATAATGAACATTGCCTTGTAAACATTCTTGGAGAAGTCAAAACAAAGTCCCCCGTGTGTATAATAGCCACATTCGTCCAAGCGGTCAAGCTCAAGCACTTTGGTGCAAAATCGGGTGGCAGGATTCCATAAGTAAATATATACTAACCAATACAAGACCATGACAAGAACCCAAAAGCATACAATCATCCCTTATCACATAAGGAAACTTGCGCTCTCTCAACGTGAGTTGTTGGTTTAAAAATCGGAAGGCCGTCGACTCTGAATAACCTTTTTTGAACACTGAATATGGTTTAGACACCTTAGAGATCACTCCTTGCCGTTGTTGATTCGAGAGCTGGAATTTTGGGCTTGAAATCCAAGAACGCCATTGCCTACAAACACACTTGAATCGTAACAGGGATTTAACTGGTAAATTTGAGAGAATATCCATAGTGATTTCGCTGGGTAGATATACCACTAGCTTTTTTCGTTTTTGAAATGACCGTTTATTTCTTTGGCTTTCCATCAAGGAAAGGCTGCGTCACTATTACCCTACTAATTAAACCCTAACTTCTCAGTTTTATGAAAGACGTTAATAACTGCTATATTTGGAAAAAACAGTAAATGACGGAGAAAATAGTTTACTATAAATTTCTAAAAAGATCTCAATGATTCTCCTCTTTTTCACACATTCTCTATAATTCTTCACACACTTTTTCACGCTTGAAATAAGCTAGCAATATCACTATTTATAATAGTACGAAACCTATTTTAGCTGGAAATTGAAAAACCTATTCCTATATTAACTTGATTACTATTCCTAATTAATCATGAATTAAGTAAATGTGCATAATACCAAATCCTAAATAATTTTAGTTTCCTACTGCAACTTTGAAGTAATTCTTATAATTCTTCAACATTTCAATGGATAGAAATTAAAGTTGTCTACGTACAGTGTTATATATACACAGAATCCATATCAACGCCGCCACACAGTGGACCGAGTCAAACAAATGGAAGAGCTGTATCCGTGTGAATTTTGATAGTGATTTTTTGCTTTTTCTTTTTATATTATATATTGTACATTTATATAAGCAAATGGGAGCGTACTAGTCTTTGTTTCTTTTGGAATTAGCTTATATATTGATAACATATAATATAAAAATAAATTACACTACAAAAAATTGATATTTGTACATATAATCGAATTTACTACCCTTTGGAAATAGGACTCTTGCAAAGATTAAATGTGTACCTAAAAATCGATATTTCTATAGTTAAATTGTGTATGTAATAATCGTTGGCCACGCTGACTAATATTTCAAATTTTGCACAAGTAAGATCATCTAATATATATGTATTGTGTATATTAGTAGGTATTCTAATATAATATTCGAATTTCGGTATTGTTTTTCTTATTTGTAAAAACTTTAACCAAATACAAAACTGGAATACAAATTTTTTGTTTTTGTTTCATAATTCAATACATAACAAGTTATGCACACCCCTAAACTGGCCTAGGGCAATTGTTACTATGACACCTTAGGTGAATTTTACATCGACAAAACACGGGAGAGATGCTGGGTATATAAGTAAACATGTCTTAGATCCTAGTGGGCTTAGGCTCAGAGCGGACAATATCACTAGCAGGCTGGGCTATTACATATGGTATCAGAGCCACTCCGTGTGCAACCTTGAATGGTGATGAGAACATGCCTTAGACCCTAGTGATGCGTTTTAAACCCGTGAGAGTCTAGGCCCATAACGGACAATATCACTAGCGGGCTGAGCTGTTACAGTTACACATATTCTTTTAGGGGTTTTGACACAGTTACCCACAAAAATAAAACTATTTACCCTTGCCTACCCATTTGTTTTTCTACCCATAAACTAATTACATTTCCTACCCATAGTAGGTTTTGTGGGGAATTTTCTCTTTATTCTCCAATTCTTTTTTATTTCTATGCTTCTTTTCTTTTCTTTTTCTTTTCTCCTTTTCTTTTTTCTTGTTTTCTTCTTATTTTTTTTTCTTTTTTCCTATTCTAATTTCATTTAACTTCTTTTTTTTTATATTCTTTTTCTCTTCATAATCTAATTTCATTTACTATTTTCACTATTTTTTATTATTCTTTTTTTTTATATTATTACTAAAGAAAAATCAAATTGTGTACCAATTAAATGTGGCTAATACAACCAAAAAAATATTAACTAACATTTGATACCAGTATAGTATATAATTATACCAACAGGGTATACAATTATACGCACAGAGATAAAAAAAGTTTAATTCAATTATTAAACTGAAATAATATCAGTTGTCAATAAAAATTTTAAAAAAATCTAAAAGGATCTAATTGTAAGAGTATACCGTTACATTATATAGCATACTATAATATTTATTTTTTTTGCATTTTCAATTTGCTAGCTCACGCTAGGTAAAAGCTTAAAATAAATTAAAAGGGGAAAGGCAAGTGAATTTACGGGTAATAAGTATACTATTATACTATATTGTATACTATTACAGCATATTGTTACAATATCTTGCATATTATTACAGTATACCATAACAATATATTTGTATACTATAATGGTGTACTGTTGTAGTATAACTATATACTCCTATAGTATATTAGTATACTGTAGCGATATACTGTTAGGTAACAATGTTCTTCTTCGATTATTACTGTAGTTGTGTTCTTCTTCGATTTTCAACTGAAAATTTCGATCTCAATCACCTCAAATCAGCTCCAAGTCTCGACCAAACTGACTCAACATTTAGTTACAGTTGCCAATCGATATTTTAATCACGCCAGTCAAAACCTAATCAAACAATTACAAACTCGACAAATGCAATTTATGATTTTCAAGTTTCAAAGTCTTTCAATGGTTGATCTAATTTTTCTTACAATAAATCACTATGAACTTCTCAAAAGATATTAGAGATAATTATTTGTAACACTAAACGTTCAAGTTCTGCTTCGTTACAGGTACTAATTGTTTTGGTTTTGAAAAATTTGCTAATTACTTTTAATATTAATCATTTAATACTCAATTACTAAATTGTTAGAGTTCTACATTCCTTTTGTTAGTTGCATTTGATTAATTTTTTTTTAAAATATTGTTACAGGCCGTTTAGCGAAGATGAAGTACGGAACAACGCTCCGCAGGTGGTGACTTGTAATGAGTACCAAAGAGAAGTAGTTGTTTCACAGAATATTGCTGGGAAGCACATAGATAGGGTTTTTATGTTCGATAAGGTAATTACTAACACCAAAAATGGTTAGCTTCCACTGTTGATTACAAAATAGTTTTTTTTAAACCTAATTCATATATTGGGCTCAAATTTATTGTATCTTTTTCGAGCATCTATAATAGTTCAAGTTTCTAAAAAGATGGTTAGCGGGTAATTAATTTGGGCACGTAAAATTTAAAAATACTTATTAAATAGAGAGATTTGCAAAAAAAATACAATTCACCGCACTATACTGTACCTACGTAATCATGTTTTAAGTTTACAGTTGCATAGCTCATTATTTTTCTGTACAATATTTTTACACCCAATATATAATATTATACAACATATATACTTGTTTTAATCTTGTATAATATAACATACAAAAATTAAGTTTCGTCCTCCTACGGAATTTAACTCATGAAAAACATCATCAAATAGTTAAAAAAATTTAACGAAAACTTTAAATATTAACCACAAATTCTAAATGATATCCCAAGCCAACTCCAATCTCAGTTTATCAACAATTTCAATAAATAATGATATCTATTTACGAGTTTTCAAGCTTTTAAATATCCAAACAATGAAATTTTTAATTTTTCACTTTATTCACCCAACAATGTTTAAATGTATAATTAATGATAAATATTCATATCACTATCAAATATGTTTCTAACACAAACCTTGAGGCAGAGCTATGATGTAAAGTATATGGGTTCAAAATTTTAAGATAAAACCATTATCTAAAACTAGTTTTTATTTCTTAGCTAGTTACGTTTTTTTATCAAAAAAAAGGAAGAAAAAGTAACAGAAAAACGTGCTGCTTTCAATGGAATCGAACCAAGGCATATTCCTGGAACCCAAAGTTGATTTAATAAAGCAGTAATGCGTTTGAATAAGAGTGCCGAAACTCATAATAAGTAGCTGATGTGTTTAATAAAAAATGTTGATAAACTTTTTTTTTTGTTAAATTGACTCAAATGTCCTTAAAGCTATTTACACTAATTAGAAGCTGATTATTACAAATATTTAAATTCATTATTTCATATGAAATTATTTTTTTGTCTCATTTATTTTTTTAGTTTTAAATTTTATTAGATTGATTGTTTTATAACAAATTAACATACAGTATAAGGTAAAACATGTTACGCTAAGTTGCCGTTTAAGAGAGTGACACGTGGAGCCTAAGGCGGGGATAGGCAAGTAAATAGGGCACGTGAACAGATGGTGTCTCCGCCAAATTAGGATGAATATGTGTCTGAAGCATTCACCAAGGGTCTGAATCTGAGAAGTTCAGGCGCTTCCTGAAAATTGAAGAAAAGCTTTCTTGAGTTCCAAGCGACGACTTGGGCGGATGTCCACAACCGGTACGAGTCTAAGATAAGGATTGAATATGATCAGATTCGCTTCCCGTTGTTGGCTATAGGACGGGAGTAGAATAAGGACAAATAAAAAGATGATTTCGGCACAGATAGACGATCTTCGAGGGGCCGACAAAAGAACTGATCGCGGTCAAAACAATAGATCATTGCATGACAAAGAAACATCTGGTACACGGGATCCTTCCTACCCCAGGCTATCAGAATACAACTTTAATGTCAGTGTGGTAGAGTTGATATCGGCTATGAGAAACATTAAAGAAGCACGGTTCCGGAAGCTGATGAGGTCCGATCCCAGCCAGATAGATCCCAATTTGTGGTGTGAGTATCATGGGACGAATGACCATTAGACTGGCGACTGCCGACATCTGCGTGAAGAAGTGGCGATACTGTTGAAGAATGGACATCTCAGAGAATTCGTATGTGACCGTGCCAAGAACAACTAAGGTCGCAACCGTGATAACGCAAAACCCTTGAAAGCAAGGGAAGATCCCCCGCGCTAGACGATCAACATGATCTTCAGGGGGAGCGAGATCAACGAGGTCACCTTCTCGGCAGAAAAAAGGATGAAGGTATCAATAACCCATAGCAAGACTCCGGGAAGTCGCTGAATACGACATCACTTTCACGGAGGAGGACGCAGATGGATTGTTGCCGCCGCACAACGATGCATTAGTAATTTCTTTAAATATATTAGATTTTAAAATCAAGGGTTCTAATGGATCTAGGAAGTTCGACCAATATCATACAATGTAGGGTATTGGAACAAGCCAAACTC